AAGTGTCATGTGTGTAAAAATAAAATATTTATTCAAAAGCCTTCTCTCAGCCACTTTTACCGCTGAATCTTGTGCAGCTGAGTGTCTCCCCTTTATCTTAGCTGGCATTTTGAGAGATACCGCTCTGAAGTAATCACTGGATTTTTCCGTTGATCTGACGATTACCAAGTGCCGTGCAAAATAATCCTGCAGCGTTACCCGTCAAAAAACTCGTATTAACACAAGTGACGGCCACTTGCTCTCGACAGTTTTATCTGATCACTTTGCCGATAACAGAAAAGGAATCTCTCAGGTAAAATTACTCGATTGCCGAGGAAAAGCCATTAAAACGTTCAAATGCAACTTCACACCTCTTAATTGCGGTTAAACGTAATCGCCTTTGTTAGCGCTTCCTACTACATATCCTTGACACCCTACTGGGCATCACTAGGCTAGGGCCCTCTCCAGAGCTGTCAATCAAAATGGCGGCACGCTTACAGGCCTAACGAGTGGTCGGAAAATGTAACAAAAGCACGATTTTCTGCCCTTTCAAAGCACCCAAACAAAATATTTTTAGATGACAATGAGCAATGGTTCCACCTGATCGTATAACCGATAACAGGTAAATTTGCCAGCTAAGCATTTGACCAATAAGCTCTGTTAACCAAACTGTGAACGTTTTTGGCTGTTTTAACAGCTTTCTATATTGACGAGATAAGTGAATCGCTGCCAAGTATATCTCACTATCTGAGCAACCGATCGTTACAAAAGTTGCACCTATTGTTGTTGGGAATGTGATGTCAGGGGTTTAAGAGGAAATTCTTAGTTTGAAAGTTATCGTCTTTTGAAGTGAATAACCCATTGAAATATGGGGTAATTTAACGTAAAAGATGATAAAATCAAAAGTAAATAGTTTAAGACAATTCCCTGGTACCGCGCTGAAGTGCTTTCATCCAGCTTTATGAGGCCTTTTGAATCACTTGAATAGCTGTCTTGGTTATAGAGAAAATCCCAATTCCGAAAACGGCATTTTCCCCCTAAAATTGGCGCTATAGCGTCATCCTTTGGACACTGTACTTAATCCCCGTCTTTAATTGACCTTTTGGGAAGTTTGTTTTAATTTTTTATAAAAACTTATAAGCCCAGGGCTTTATTTCTATGACTTTGGTCCTTTTACTATTGGTCCCCTTAATGTGCTGGATATCTTACTATATCAGTGTTTCAATAGTTCCTGCAATGACCCAAATCAGTTCTCACAAGCGCTATTTTAAACCATTCTGCCATGTCATCAGAGTAATGCATCGGCAAGTACACGAATTATCAAGAACAATATTCATCTTCCCAGTTCCAACGTCCTGCATTCTATCTTTGTCACAGATTTATTTTCCTGATATCTCAAATGTATCAAGAGTATTGAACTCGCTTCTCCCTACACTCCATTTTTATCATTCTCACAGCTTTTGGTTTTATTTCCCGATATTTCAGAGAGTATCAAGAGTATTGGACTCGCCTCTCCCTGATCGGGACTATCCTCTCTCCGACCACTATGGTGTTTCTGTGATTATCCAGCGATGTGCCTGCTTCTTGTGGTGGTGGCCATGGAGTAGATGCTGAACTACCAGTCATCAAATAGAACGTTCAGCAGAAACCGTCTTTGTAAACGGAGCGTCAAATCCTCAAAATTATACTTTTATTTTTGATAATAAAGACTGAAGGGGTGGGGTTGGGGGGGGGGGGGGTGGGCGTTGACTGAAATCTTTTCATTTTTTATCTAAAATTTCAACATTAATCACCACAAAGACTTTATGTGTTGTTTCTGAGCAACGAGTTTGTTATACTAGCATGTCTCCTATTTGGAATTGCAGTTTTGCCGATGTATCTACATGTATAGCGTTTTATTTGGCTGCATTAAACCAAATAATTATTTTTGAGGAAGGGGTTTAAAATGTGTAATAATATATATATAACTGATTCAGCAACATGGCTGTCGTGTAATTAAAACAACCCAAGAGACACAATAAACAAGAAGGTAAACTTATATGTATATACATGTAATTTTATTGTAAGAAAGCTTTTGCACAAAATTTTCACTGTTCTGCGGTTCTTTCATCTTACCACATCTTTCTTATCTATAAACAGGACTGGTAGTAACATGTACAAAGCCAAAAGCGGGTGAATTTGATTGAAAATGATCAAATTAATAAATATCGTTCGTACTTTCTATACTTTATTTGGTACATTCCCTAATGGAAATACCTCCTTACTCATACCAAGGAGTTATAACATAACTCCTTGCTCATACACACAAAATACTGTATCCCAATATTTTATACCGGGATACTCTTTTAACTGATCTTGACAGTTCCGTTATCCCTATTCAGGTCTATGCCAAAAATTGCGTGTTGGGGGTGGTCGGCTCATGTCCTAGTTAGATTCCACTTTACCAAAATAACACGATTCAGAGCTGGCCCTCTGAGGACGTGTGTTTTGACAGCGCCCCTTGCAGAGTTGAGAGCGGCTCTTAGAGTGTGTTAGGCTGCTCGCCTTTATTACGAGAAAAGAGCGTCTCTGATAGGAAGGTAGGTGTCTCGCCTGCCTAGTATGAGATTTATAGATACCGATATATATAGGGTGCCCTGAAAAGGACATTCTGTGATTGGTACGATGGAGGCGTCTCGTCTGTCGGGGCAAAGGGGAGGGTGGACCCCAGTGCGAATATGGTACCTAAGATATGAACATCTTCAAATTTTAGTGCTCTATTTTTTTCGCAAAAAACACTAATTTAATGCATCAGACGAGTCATGCCTCGGTCATATACTGGTTATCAATAACAGACTCGTTGTAACTTGATGCTAAAATGTCGCCCCTTTACTTCTACGGATTTTCAGAATTAAACCTCTTATTTAATTACGAGGATACATTTAAGCACGATTTTTAAAATCAGACTTTGCATTTTCTGTCTTGGTGTGAAGTAGTCCATGAATGTTATTCTACGCTTTCTCTTTTAAACGAAATATCGCAGCTGCAACGATACATTTGATCATAGACTTAGGTGAGTTCGTCTCTCCAGGTAAATAATCCAATGTGCTACTTTTTTTACTGAGCTTTCAGCTACCACCAGCTCTGCCGACCTATTTCTCTCATTTCTCATCAGGAAACTATTTGATGACAACTCATCATCTTTATCAGTTATTGTCAGTGTTATAATTATGGTCATATAAGGCAGCAGTGTAGCATTACAAATTTACATGTCCAGAGAAATTAAAGGTAAAAAAAAGTCTGATCGTCGTTATATTGGCGAGCGAATTACGAGTGAGGGGCATTAGGGAAATGCGGCTATTTATGATATCAAATAAATGAAGGAAATTGTTATGGCATCTTGATCGCCCTGGTAAAGCACAAGGTTTTATATATATGTATGTTCTTGGCTTTAACAGCGCCCTGCATATACGTTTTCTTTATTTTACAAAGTGCAGACTTGATCCCCTTTAATTCGGAATTACATATCTCCTAATGCTTATATGTATGATTAGCACTACCTAATGTAGATTTATTTTTTGAAAGAAACAGCATTTGTCTCTGCTCCAAAGTAACCTCAAGTTATAAAAGTGTGTACAGAACTAGTAAGGTGTCCCTTCTTGTCACTGTTTTACCACCCCGAGTCCACTTGGATATTTGTTTTGATGACTTTCCTATGAGATTATATAGATATATACACATACGTATAATAGAAGTCTGACTGTGTTCTAAAACTTTACCCACATAACAGCTGATGGCTTAGCTAGAAGTGAAAATGCTTGTTCTTTACTGATACATACTGGCTCTTTTAATGGCATTATCTTTCTGATTGGATTAAAAAGGTACTATATGTTTATCGCATATGTAACGCAGCTAGATTTACTACAGAGGGAATATATTAATATATCAAACGGGATTTTATTATTGCCATCTGCTTGAGCTCTCACGTGAGCTGCGAGATTTCCACGGAGATTTTCTCTGCTGTTTCATTTCCACGAGCTCACAGTTTGCCCGGGGTGCGGACAGAACGCATGACAGCTGTGACACAGAGATGAAGATGATTTTCAGATGTTATTTTGTGCTGTTTGCAATATGTTTCGGAGGAGGCGTTCTTTCGGCAAGGTACAGCACATTTGAATTCATTTTGTTTTCTTCTGTTCTTATAAATGAATAACATTATCATATATTCGAGTTGCATACAGTACATATATGTGTATGTGCACGTCGATGCCATTCATTCTGGTACATGTATTGAGCTTAATCGTGCTTTTTTACACGGGCCATAACAAATTAAAACTATTGAAACATTTAATGTCGAGCAATTAAGCTTAGAAATTAGTATTTTTAATTTTACATGGATATATACATGCACGTGTGCCATCTGTCTGTATATATATTGGCACGCTTGCTTTATGCTTACTTATGAAAAATCAACTTTATTTTTAAAACATTAAGTTAACAAATAGTCGCTTTTCATGTTTCTGGGCTTTTATCTGAACTGGGCGTTTCAATCTGAAGATAAGATGAGTAGCTCTGAAGTTACAGTTATGCACAGCGTAGAGTAAGGAATAAAACCTTTTCCTTTTAACCTTATTTTTAGATCAAATATTCGATGGACATCTTTTAATAAGGGACATTAGAAATAATTACTCAGGAATGGAAATCAGGACCTTTTCGATAGATACTGACGACTGTGCAAGAATGTCGTTCTTAGTATTAACATGATTTATAAATATGTTTCCCCAATGTGTGATCACCTCTCGCTTTCATTTTTATCCTTTATTTAATGGTAGTTAAAACTTATATTTTTTTTTTATGTGTGCATCAAGAGGAGTTTCTAGGGCTAGTTTGCTTTCCAAGATTTCGTTTTTACTTAAAAATACAACAGAATCATTTAGTTGTTAGTTGAAAATGTCATTTTAATGACATTTGTACTTTGATTAATACACAGAGTACGAATTAAAAATACTTATAGTTAAATATTGTCATATGAATAATAATCATGTATGGTAAATCATTTACAAATTTACATGTACGAGTTACGGATCTTCGTGGACCATTTGCACGGTATTCGCGCGCTTATTCTCGTGTTATTTTTTACTCCTCTTTCCCTTCCTTTTTGGTTTTGGGGGCATAGCATTAGTTAAATGTATTAGAAATTTTTGAGCTTGTGCGTCTTCTTGTTACTACGACGTAATTGGTCAAATACGCAAGGGGGCTGCATCGACCACCTATCCAACAGCAATATAAAAATCGGTAAAAAACGGTGGCCGTGCGAAATCATACCGAATCCTACGTATTCACGGCCTCCGTAGCCTCTACGATTTTGTCCGGCTGAAACTTTTGACAAATTTTAAAAATTGTAAGCCCGTAGGTCGCATCAATATAGGTACGGCATAGGACAATTCCCGCACGAGCACTGTACGGCAGACTTAAGCCTGGGTCCCAACTCCACGCACGATTTTCAGGACGTGCGTTTTTTTTAGGTTACTCTCGTCTGGCTGGGTCGTAGCTAGATCGTAGGGAAGAAATCAAGTAACAGATGATTGCAATGAATTCGCAAGAAGAAAGTGCGTGGAAAGTCCGTGAGAAGCACAGCCTCCGAACGTCAGAAGTACCTCTGCGCCTGACGGGCTTTCGCACGTGTCCCGCGCGCCCCGTGCATGCAAAGTACAAGGAGTACAGGCAACGCAAGGGCAACGCAAGTAGACGTAAGACAGTCTAGCTGACTTCCTCGTTGCTCGTCCTTTGCACGGGAATCTTACGTGTTGAGATGTTTTGGGGAAGATATATGTAACAGTGCATGTTTGAGGAGATCATTATATCCGCAGCAGTGTTCAAAGATGATGAGCCCAATCAAACCTGGTTTGTCCCCGATGCCCCTCTCCCCCTCTTGCTCGTTGTTGTCTTTTTAGGCATTTTTAAAACTTGACATCAGAGGCAGATAATGCTTTTTCGTTCATGCCCCTTCTTTTAAACTCACGGTCCGTTCGCATGGAGTGGCCACGAAGCCCGTGAGTTCCACACGGTGGGCGCGCGGATATGCGGAGTGAGCACGTAGTGAGCAAGAAAAAAGTGCGTGTATCAAGCGCCTTAACCACGTGCATCGCAAGCACCGTAGCCACCCGGGCGCAGTGGGGAAAAAAGAGTTTCCTCAGGTGTCCCGTACGACAGGCGCACGACAGGCGAACGCTACACATTCGCATGTAATACTTTTTCCCTTTTTTTTTTTTTTTGAAAATTCGTAGACCGCACATAGCGGCTGTTGATCATGTCGAAAAATTTCTGCGTGCTGTCTGCGACCTCCAAAAGTTGCACGATGGACGTGCTCCTCACGCACGAAATCCCACGTTTTCCCCAATTTTTTGGCCGTTTGACCGCAAGTTGGGTTGGGACCCAGAATTAACGATGTCAAAAAAACCTTACGGACAATCATATTCGATTTCATTGCACGGCGCGCTTGACAAATGTAATCTAGCCTTAAAGAAATTACATGTAATGCCATGAAAACAGCTCCCCTCCAATACGCATTTTTTTTCCTCACAGGAAGAAAATCAAAACGAAAATTTTGACATATAACGCAGGCTTGACAGAAACAGATGTACCACAGTAAGTACACGTTAATGTTGACTGATTGCAGTGAATAGTTTTTTATTTTTTTGGGGGGGAGGGGGGGGGGATATATTTTTGTATGTTCATGTAGGCCTAGTCGCCGCCAGAAACTTTTCTAACAGTTTAATTCAACAATGAGGGCCTGTTCCTTAGTTACTTCTTTGTTTAAACTCGCTACTAATTATTATTATTATGAATTTTTTTTTGCATGACTCTCAGAAGATGATATATACATATTATTACTTTTATCATTGATTTAAAAGATAAACTGCAGCTTCGTTCGCCTAGAGCATGTTTAGTCGAAATCAATTGAAATAATGAAATAGATTTGTTTCTTCTAAATAATTTCACGTAAATTTTTTTCAGCTACCAAGTTCGTCGCGAAGAGTTTCTCAGAAAGCTCACCAACAACGAGATCCCGGGACATGTCGTCTGCTTGCAAGAGATATGGAAAGCAGACGACGTGGCAGCCATCGTCCAAGCAACCAATACGACTTTCCCCTATACCTTCAGTGCTATACACGCGGCTGATGGCACACTGGCTCAACCTCCCTCGGTTCCTGCGTGCGAGCCTTCAAAGGTAACAGTAGCACAATTTTGTGCCGACTTTTGCTGACTAAAAATTTGCCTCAAGTCCACTTTATATTTTGTGCCTAAACATTACACGATCCATCAAAATTTTGCCCGCATCTTGACATCCACGTTAGTGGATGAATATTTTTTTTAGATATTATATTTAGATACATAATGCAATCTGCACATTCTCCCTTTTCTGAGATAACTTGAAGGTAGCTTGCAGTATAATCTGTATGTATCTGCCGTTACTGCAGGGCAATAAAAAAAAAACAAAAAAACTCGGGTTCTGTCCACCGAACAAACAGGTAACCAAACAACAATGAATCACGAGTCAATCGCTTTCATTCCAGATCAACCCGATGCTGCAGTGCATACAGACCAACTGCCTCAACAGCCAGATGCCGCTCCTCGCGTGCGTTGTCATGGCGTGCAGGTCAGAGGTCAGCGCTGTTCCCCAGCAGTGTCTTGACTGTCTGGCAGCCGGTATGACATATAGAGCCTCCAGTAACACCACTGCTGCAGTCATAATGGGGCGTGTGCAGGTTTGTCTGAGTACGCCGTGGCAGACGACCTATGGACTGCTAATCCTCAGCAAGATGCCGCTAGATTCGGAAGTAGTTGACTACCACCCCGATACCTCACTGTTCATTCCAAGGGCTTATCTCCATTCAAAAGTAAGCTTGTTTAACTTTTTCAAACTTTTTGTTGTTGTTGTTGTTGTGATGTCCCTCCCCCCCAAAAAAAAAAAAATAAATAAATAAATAAAAATAAAGAAAGAAAATTAAACCGTGAAATTAAGATACCTCGATTCCGACGATATATAATCGGGTTGAAGATACCCTTCCAGTCTGTTGTAAAGCTAGTCGGACAGCCACGGTGATCTCACTATTCATACAATATATGTACGTGTTCTTTTTTAACAATTGCATATTAACTGTCGGTATACTTCATTCTCTTTTATAGATTGGATCATGCCACTTTTTCTGCACTCATTTGACCGGCGAACTGAGCGACGCAGCTTATCTTGACGGTAGGACTGAAATTTGTTTTTGTTTAAAATTTTTATAAAATTAATTCCATAATTAATTAGTTGATTTGAATGAATGAATGAATGAATGAATGAATGAATGACCAATTTCGAATACTGTTACTTCAGATCTTTTGGGCTAACAGTGTCATTAACGTTTAATTACATTTAAAGCAGATTGCCCAAAAATATGTATGTTTGTGAGTGCATAACGAACCCAGTAATTATTAACCAATATGTTTCCAAAAAGGGAGTGGGTGGATTCAATCAACAATTGCAATAAACGCGCATTTTTGGCGATTTTATGTGTATTTCCCCCGCCACAGATGGCTACCCCCACACGTGGCTCAAAGATTACCATGTAAGAGTTTGTGTGAAGCATACGTATAGTTGTATTTAAGCGACACAGATCTACGATATTTTCAGTATCAGTACTGAATAAGATCCCCTTCCAACGCCTTCCGTAAAATGGTCGTAGATTGCCAGTGTTTTCTTACGGCAGACTAGTCGAGCTCCCTCGCATGATATTTTGATGCTTTCGGTGTTTGTGAACGGTGTCTCTTTTCATTCGGTACACACTCTAGATTTAGCCCACATGGAGGAGCAGACGATTTAACTTATCGTGGGTCGGCACTGTTTATAGCATGCCCACATAACCATTATATATTCAGACAGAACATGAAAATAATGTTTCCATTCTATGCAGATGCTGGCATTTCTATTAGATTAGCTATCAGATGGTTTCTGGTGCTTTGCTTGCATGGAGAGTCCGATATGACTGATTTTTCAACTGGCAGCTATACAACGGGTAGTTTTGAGACAATACCTTAACTTAGATAATGATCACCAAATATGTCTCTCCACATATGATAATTGTGTGGCCTGTTTTATAGTAAAATAAATCCATATAAAGAAAACTTTTATCCAAAACATTTTCCATGTCTTTCTTGCAATAAATGAATGATAAACATTGATTATTGTAAATAAATAAATAAACTGGACGTAATTTTTAATCTTATTCAAATATTTGGGCATGTATTCCCAATTTAACTGAGGTCAAAGAAGATTATACTAGTATAGCTTTTATATAAGTATTGGTTCAGTTTCCCATTGTGAAATAGGCTCCTGCTTTTCAATTTATAGTTTATACCCACATACACACTATTTAGGTATAAATGTAAATAGCTTTTATGCGGGTTAATGGATGCAGCTAAGAGCAGTGCCATTATTTTCTTACTGAATTCAGTGTCTCTGATATTCTCTTAACATTATTTATTTAGTCTGAAATATATTACTGGCTTCTTTTAATTTCTTTATGTAATCATAACAATAATAGTAATAATAATAATAATGTTTATGTGGTCATGGTCCTTAGATCCCTCGGCTCCCTGCAATTAAGACTGCTGTGTTGAAAAAAATGGGGCAAGGTCAGGGGAAGAGTTCGGCCCTTATCCCTCCTCTCCGGCTATATGTTTATTATACGTTACTCAAAATGCGGAGCATATTCCATATTAGGTAATTCTTTCTTTTCAGTTGGACCTTTCAGCACCTTCCAAGAACAGAATTTGTACCAAACTGGTACTCTGCTGAATGCTGCCAACCGGTTTTTGCCCCGTGTCGTTTTGGCTGGTGATTTCAACGTCGGGAAAGCCGTCCCTGAAGACAGTGTATCAAGCGTGCAACTCAATTCCTACAAGCTTCTCACCCAGAACTTCAAGACTCGTTACGTGAACTGCACGTATTGTGGCACTAACCAGCTTGCTGATTCACCGAATTACAATTTTGCGCTTGACCACGTGTTTGTACCAAATTTAGAAGATCCCAACACAACACGCTTTACGATCAAGGTTGGTATTAAGCCCTTGCATCAGCAGAAAAAAATAAACGTATTTGGAGTAGTTATAAACTTATTCCCAATTTTTTACATTGGTATTGAAAATATTAATATAGTTTTTATCTGCCATGACTGCCTCGTTTTCCTTAACACCCACCCTCTTGGGATATATATATATATATAGGCACCTTGTATTTCAGATGGGAAACCGCAATGGGGATTCTCTCATTTTCTAGCACACTTACGTTCTGGGGCACCCGTGTCTTAACGTCCATAGTTAAAGCTACTAGGACAGAAACAATCACTGACTGCATTTTATACCATTTTCCACATCAAATTAAATGAAACCATATATATATATCCGCTTAATAGTTGTCACTCAATTTTCCTTATTAAATGAAACTAACATTTGTTTGTACATGTATGTTAAGGTATGTATGTATTATTTTCAGACTGCGTCGATAGAATTGGACGGCAAAGTGCCTGACCAAGATTACAGCATGTCCGACCACTTTGCATACCTAATCGGTTTTGAGGTTCGTTACACAGGCTAATACAGCATACCCGCCGAAGATGTATGTGCTACAAGGCCGGGCGACATGATTCTTCACACAAAATTTAAGGCACCACCTAGAGTGTGTAAGCCTATACGCCGGTGATGCAATGAGAACCTTTCCTGTGGGGTATACCATATTATTCAGAGTTATTTTGCGATATGTTGATTTCCTCCTGTAACATTATTTATTTACGCGGCATCAGGCCTACCCAACTACCAGACTCGGCACCTAAGGATCCTGAATAAACCGGTATATCGGACCACACTACCCGTTTTCAAGGTGTGTGTCAGATCGCATTTCGGAGTATCAGCCAGAACACCGACAGGATGAGCCCTGACATGCTCGGCTGTCACCTTGATTGGATAGTAAACGATTGTCGTAAAATCGCTATATGATTTTAAAACCGGGTGCATAATTTTGAAAGCCACCTAGATGCACCTTAGACTGCCACATTAATCTAATACAATGCAAAAAAGCCCTGTCAAAAGTGGTTAAAACATTCAAACCGAATGTCGTAAAGTCCCCATATATCCCCATAGAGACAATAAAATAGAGTACTCTAAAGTAAAAGTACAGTTTAAGGTTGTTCAGCCGAGCGTGGATGAGCCCGCAGTCGTGCTACAAAATTTGCTCTGGGGGATGATACTCCGAAATGCGATCTGACAAAATCAATATGAATAAATGTGAATAAATCAATATTCTTCGGCTTAAAGATTGATGTTGTCTTTTTTAATATTCTTAAGGAAACAAAAACAATTTCAGTTGCTATGATGTAGACGAGATGATTCCATCGTTTGTCCTTTTGCAGATACATTTTGCTGATGCAATTGGTCGCAGGGAGGATTTATAAATTATTGCAATTTTCTGGCCCAGACATTACCCAAATAATATTAGGAAAAATGTTCATTAGCTTGGTTGTTGGATATACATGAAAATTCTCAAACACAAGCCTAAAAATTTCCGTACCGTTAGCTTACGGCCAACCTGGTCGAAGGCCTTCATCAGACTAATGTGAGTAGTTGTTCACACTCACTGAGCGCTAGGTGGCATAGCGGCCATGACCCTTTTATAAATTGCCATGACTGTAATTCCTTTTACATTGGTGAGACAGGTAGACAGTTGAAGACCAGGGTTATTGAACATATGAAATCAGTGACTGTAGGCAATACCAGCTCTGCCATTTCTGAACATGTAATAGACACCGGCCACAGTATCGACTGGAATTCAACTAAGATCCTTGAATCTGAATCAGCCAACATCCCGCGAAAAATACGAGAGGCTATCAACATCAGCCGTCACCAGCCACCCATGAATAGAGAC